AGGGTGAAGACGTCCTGGAGGGGGTTGAATTGGAGCTGCTGCTCGGGTGCCGAACACCCCAGGCGAGCCTTGAGGAAGGTCGTCCACTTCTTCTGCAGCGTGCGGGCACCGCCGACATCCCCCTGGGCACCCAACAGGTGTCAGGGTGGGCGCCCGCAGCAGCCCCGCCACACGGGGCCACCTCTGCCGAGCATCCTTGTCCCATCGTACCTTGCAGACCCGGGCCACGCGGGCCACCACTTGCTCAGCGTAGCAGTCATACTCCACAGCCCGCTCGCTGAAGAAGAAGTAAACCTTGTCGTCGTCGCCGGTGCTGCTGGCCGCGCTCTCCTGCACGTAGGCCGAGGCCACGAAGTGGGGCTCTGCGGGGCAGATGGGGAGGGTAGCACCACGTGGCGGGGCCATGTGCCTGCCCCACGGCGCCCAGCCCTACCGTTCAGCCAGGAGGTGAGATACTCCGTCTTCATGGAGTAGTGGGGCCCCAGGTTGCGGAGGATGACGGGCTCCGTGCCCAGGAAGTTGTTGAAGGTGGCCGAGTAGAGCTCGCCATCTGCAAGGCAAGGGCTCAGCAACGGGGCAGGTGCCCCCCACCCCAGCTGAGGGAAACCGCCTCCCCCCGGGGTGTCACCTACCCACGATGAGGCCGGTGTGTCCCTTGGTGGGGTCGTACGGACACTTCCCTTTGCCGTCCTCGAAAGCCACTTGGTCCAGGGTGAAGCCGGACAGCTCCTGCGGGCCACAAGAGATGGGGTTTGAATCCCACCCCTGCTCACATCTGCCACGCCCAAACCAGCCCCAGACGCGGGGACACCCCTGAACGATGCTCCAGGAGATGGGGACACCCATGGATGATGCTCCTGGGGAGAGGAACACTCCTGGACAACGCTCCTGGGGACAGGAACACCCCTGGACAATGCTCCTGAGGATAGGAACATCCCTGGACAACACTCTTGGGGACAGGGGCACCCGTGAATGATGCTCCCGGGGAGAGGGGAGAGGAACACTCCTGGACAACACTCCTGGGGACAGGAACACCCCTGGACAATGCTCCTGAGGACAGGGGCACCCCTGGATGATGCTCCCAGGGAGCAAGGAGAGGAACCCCCCTGGACAACACTCCTGAGGACAGGGGCACCCCTGGATGATGCTCCCAGGGAGCAAGGAGAGGAACACCCCTGGACAACACTCCCGAGGACAGGGGCACTCCTGGATGATGCTCCCAGGGAG